AGACCCCTCCCTTTCAATTTCTGTCGCATCTGCTCGTCTCATATTTGTGTTTTTATAGACTCTCTTATGCTTCTTAGATACAAGATCTGTGGGGATCATGCGCGCGATAATCTGAACAGCCTCTTCCGAGACCGTACGGTACGCATACGCAATTATCAGCGCTTCGTGTCTCTGTATATTCTGTAACCGTTTCCGGTATTTATTGGTCTTGAGGACGTCGACCCAAATTTCTGTACCGTATATTATATAGGATCGAGTGAGTTTTTGACGTTCAAAGTCGGCGTTTTTTCGGTCTCAATCCATGTGTTTTTGGAATTAGGCGACTGAACAGTTACTCTCTTGGCTGCCATTTCGGCTGTCTTCTGTGAATATGAGGCCAGAATGTCAATTTCACATCTAGGGTGACCTCGAACTGTTTTACTGTCTCCCTAGTCTCCATCGGTACCGTACCAATTTTTATCGCTATGACCGCTGATATTCTCTGTTTCGTTAGTAACATTAGTTCTGCCTTGTCTAAAATTATATAAATCATTATAGGTTTCGTGACACTTGATACATTTGGATACACTATTTCATGAGAATTTTTAGAATTGAAGCCAATAATTTTAGTTAAACAAAAATAGCAGTTATTGTGACTAAAAGGCTCCCGTCATAACATTGGTGTTTTGGAATACATGGGTGTAACTGTGTCTGTGGCATTATTTCAGCGTCTTAAAATTTCAACACAGGATTTACAAGCTTTGTGTGGAACCCAAGGTTTATCTTGACTTGAAATCGATATATTGAAATATCTCTTGTAAAACTGGTTGACACTTTCATTGATGTCAATTTTTTGCTTTGAAAACATAAAACGACAGTAGATGTAAGAAAAATTGTCTGGGTAATTTGAACACCTACGAACGTTCATTATAAAGAAAACGAAAATGTGGAAATAGCTGATAGAATATACTATAAATAATTCAAGGTAGCTATGAGAAAGTCTAATAAAGACTCCAAAGAAGAACTCACCAAGAGCAGAGTCGTGAAAACGACTGATGAAAACTGCTCGTCGATAAATCCTCCCGGATTAGCGGCTTACCAGGTAATTTCATCGCATGTACGAGGTTATGATACTAACCCAATAAGTATCGCAGGTTACAGGGCTCGAGGATTAAGGAAATTAGAGTTCAAGGGTCTGGGGGGGTTATAACGTCACAGGTTACAGGGATCGAGGTTTAAAGAAATTAGGATACAAGGTTTTGGGGCATTGTAGGTTACAGAGCTCAAAGTTTAAGGAAATAGGAATTGAAGGGTTTAAGGTTATAGCGTCGCAGGTTACAGGGCTCGAGGGTGAAGGAAATTAGGGTATAAGGGTCTACGGTTATAGCGCCGCGGGTTACAGGGTTCGGGGGTTAAGGAAATAGGGATTTAAGCGTCTGGGGCTATGACGTCGTAGTTTACAGTGCTCGGGGGTTATGGAAGTTAGGGTATAAAGGCGAGAGATTAGAGTCTTGCATATGTCGTATGTGCGCATCTGGGAAAATAGCAGTATCGGAACTGCTAAAATACTTGATTCGAATCAACGATATCTCGATGGAAAAAAAAGGTATCTCAAATCTTAAATATGGATTCTAAAGGGTAAGAGTATACCTTTCAAATAGTTTGCCCCGTTTTCAGAAAAAAAAATCCTTCCGCGTTGTTATGGGACCTTAAATATACCAAAAAACTGCCTTTTTGCCCTTTTAGGTTAAGATATCTAAAAAAACCTGACGTGATGGACAAATTCTGACTCCAGATTCGAATTCTACGCACAAAATTACTTCGGAAATGACCTTTCGTTGGCCAACAACAATCACAACCCCTTATTTTGCAGATCTGTGTAATCCTTCATCACTCACATCAGATATTAGGGAACTCCGAATTTTTGTAATACTTTGATAATGTCCTTCCATCTAGCAGAGTTTAAGAAATTCCTAACGTCAGTGTCATGAAAAACACTATTATTCTCGCACTGAGGCAAATTCACTCCATTCGTAGGTATCCGTCACTTCTGGTATCGCCTTTATTGTCGAGCATTACTTTTAAAATCAATACTGGTTATCTGTCAGTTCTCCGTTTATTATTTTCGTGTCAGGTATTATTGGTTTTATCCGTGTATCATACCGTTTGTTCGCTCTATCTGGAACATTTAGGGATCTATAGGACGATAGTGCATTCAATTCACCTATTCCTTTATACAGAAGAAGCAGTCTAATCATTTTCCATCGAGTGGTGAAGATGCCAGCTCGTAAGCCCAAGTTATACATGTCTAGTCTCAGCTGTACAATCGCAATCTATCGGAGGATCTCCCAGGGGATGCAATGCGGTTTCAGTGCCTTGCCAGACTTAAGTGAGGACGTAGCTTGCGTTACCTCCGCCTCAGTAAATTACGACATCTGAAGCCTCCGGTCATCCATATATCCGTCTATCACTGGTTAGTTTGGAAAAAAAATCTGTTAATTATTGCGTTTATGGTGTTTCTCTCTTCAGGCTCCAAAGAACGCAAATACCCTACCACCTTTCGTGGTTACAATCTTGTACTATAGTCTCCAGGGATCCTGTACTACTTCTTCGCATAACTATCTCGCACATTGATTTTTACTGTCTCTGATCAAGATAGTCAGCGCCTTTTTTGCTGTCTTGTACATAGTCGCCAAGCTGTCCGCATTGGAACCTTTGTTTTCACTCTCTTTTCACACTAGTATAATGTATTTTTGACTACTCTGATCTAGGTCAAGTCATCGAGGCTACGCTAAATTACGTTGTTAATTCCATTGTTTTTTGCGTTATCCAGTTTGCTCGTATTTTTTACATATCGACTCCTGTCGGAACACCTTTGGTAAATGCCATCGTCTCCTGTAACGATTCGTCGAAGCGTGCTTATCTTATTTCTCTCTGTATCAGTACATTGAAGTCTGGTCCATCCGTTATGTTAAACTGCATCCAGAGATTCTGAAGATTACTGGTCATTTGTCATTATTATTGGTCATCTGTTTGTTGTCTGTGATTTGATTGTATTTATCCATCACTTTCATAACCGAGTGTATTGTCGGTACTTTGGGATCTTGGGCTGCACCTGGGTCTGCTGTGAGTCCGCGATATTCCGCGAAAGTAGTACTGAGAAACTACGGAGTTGAAAGAAGATACGATATGGTTTTCCATGTCGGCTACACTGAGTTCGAATCCAATTCTATTGGCGGCCCAACAGTCCCTACTAGTGTTAACACTGTACCCTCTAGAGTGAAAGCAAGTGCTGGTTTGGAGCAGTCCTCTCATTTCTTTATCTCTGGTAGACCAAGATGCTTGTCTGATGTTCTTTCGAGGGATAATAGTTTATTAGTTCTCGTATGATGTATCTACTAAGGATTTAACCATTCATAGGTCATCCTTCTTCTCGTTCGCTACAGCACTCATTTACAGAGCAATCCATTTATACCACGGAAACAGACTTAAATCCGTGGACGTGTAAGTGATGAGTAGTTAAATATATCAGCAAAGTATCATTATTCTTACATGACATGTGAGTCATTGCTTCCTCTTGGCCGTGTCTGTTATAGCGTTGCTTTTAAAATTGTTGATAAGACGGATAACATTTCTACCGTGTACAATCGTGGACGTTGGAAGTTAGCATTTATTAGTGAGAAGTTACCACTCACTGAGCCGGCCGTACATTATTATTATTGCTATTATTATTATTAATAGCATCAATAGTATTAATTAAGCAAACTAATGGGTACAGATATCTAGTATATTGTTGCAACGTTCCACAGGAACCTAGTTTTTATAACTAGTCATAATAACAATAACAGAATTATTATAGCATTTTTATTCTGATCATGCTATTCGAGTAATCTTTTCTGTTCCCATAATATCGTCAATAGTAGACCAAAGCTGGTGAATATGTTAATATTTTAATGGATTAGTTCAAGAAAATTCAATTTTCTTGTACACTATTTTTCTCAAAATAAGTGATACAATATAGAATTAAGGTAATAAATGATTTTTATTTAAGGATTTTGTATGGAGAGTTAATAGTTTTTTTCGAGGCATCTCATTGAAAGATAAAACAATACCATTACCATAAACTTGATATTTTCAGCTGGTTTTGTTATTCAGTACACCCTTAAGGATTCTGTATAAAAATATGTTACAATTTTACAAAAGAAATAAATGAAAATGCAAGTAAAATATTCTTTAATTCGCTACCTTATCTACGGAAAAACTTTAAAAAACAGTCATTAAATTTTTCAGTATGTTATAATTATTTAATGTCACCGGCCGATAATCCGATCCGATAATCTTTTTAATGTCACCGGCAGTGGAAGTAAGTCACTCTTTTAAGTTACGATTTTTTCCACTTTTTGAAAACTTTATTAGTAATCGATAAAATTTTAAGAAAATATTTAAGAAAAAATCTGTGTTTGTTGCTTTGTAATTGAACATTTTGACAAATCGTTTCTATGGTATGACTTATGACAATGCTTTACGACGACGATAATTTCCAATTCATGTTTTATACTGCACTCATACTAATGAAGCCTGATATTTTTTCAATTTTTGTTCTATTTGGTAGCGTGATAAAGCAGATGTTGAAATATTATATTGTAAAGCGAACAAATACAACGGATTATTTTTTGAAATATTTCTAGAGTACAAACTACTAACTCTCTATACATATTTTACATTTGGAAACGTCCCAAAAATGAAAAAATAACAATTATCAGATTTTAACTTATTATTAGACTAGGATCAAGTTGAAATATATTTCTTTCCTCCTTTTCCTTATAAACCCTTGTTGTTTATCGTTTTATTCTTCAATTTTAAATAAATACGATAACTAAACATTATCTGATCATTTATTTTAAGCATAAATATCTAACAACATTCTTACGATTCTTTCTTTTCATGTACAAATCCCTTCAACTTTTGAACTTGCATCCATGAAAAAATTCCACTTCAAATTCAATCGCCCGCTACTACAGGACTGGTAGTAACTTACAGTAAGTTTTCTCCAACATTTATTTTGAGATTCCATTGACATCATTTACGTTATAACAGCACGTATTTGTTTAAGTAAAATAAATTTAACTTATAAATATTACACATTTGTAGTGCTGAATTATTATTTTATAATACTTGAGTAATGATATGACAAGGTAGTTGAATATGCCGCATGAAAAAAACATATCTTCGAAAAATATTGTTGGTAAAATTAAACGCAAAACATAATTGGCTTAACCAAACTAAATCTATTTATTGTAATCAATATTTCTTTTTTACTCAGTTCTTAATTATTATTTTTTATGATAGAATATTTATACACGTCATCATGTAAAATTTTACGTAATATGTCCTACTATTAAACCTCAATGAATTATAATTTATTATATTACATATTTCTGTCCAAGAGATTTATTTTCCCACGGTGATGATACATTATAGGTATTGCCTTAGATCTGATGAAATTATACCCCTCTCAATCTATCCGATACTAAATTTGAAGCAACCATGCCACTTTCTAGGAAATATTCTCATGTTATCGAACTTCTATCTCTCTTGACCAAATAATATATCATGTACATTTGGGACAATTAAAAACAGACTATTTTTGATCACATAAATATCTTAATTGTTATGTCTCCAATATTAGCATGATTATTGTCTAACATCCGTATAAATTACATATTGATGCAAGCGATACAGTTTTGAATCTGCGCTGACGTAAGTTATCGATAGCCGAAAGCGTGTTTTGATTTCAAATTAAGCTAAGAATAAATTATTGAATTTTCTAGCGAAAAAACGTAACAATTATCCAGCAATTGAAATATTTCGAAATTAAGTTTAGGGTTATAAATTTAAAACTATCACTGTCAATTAGTTGGATACAGTAACTACAGAACTTCGAATATAGCAAGATGCTGGAGAACGTTATGTTCGATATTTTGTCTCATATGCACAAAATAAACGAGGAGTATAAGCACACACTCGTTGGTCTACGAGGTGTGATCAAAAAGTAAGGTGAATTTTTATTTTTCTCAAAAAATATTTATTTATTCATCAATTTTTATTTTATCTCCTTCAAAGTAATCCCCCTCGGATATAATGCACTTGTGCCAACGCTTTTTCCAATCCTCAAAGCAATTCAAAAAATCATTTTTTGTGATCTTGTTTAGTTCATCCTTCGATGCCGTCTTTATCTCCTCAATCGTGGCAAAACGCCGTCCTTTCATGGGCCTCTTCAGTTTTGGGAACAAGAAGAAGTCACAGGGGGGCCAGATCTGGGGAATACGGTGCCTGTGGCATCGTTACTGTGTTGGTTTTAGCCAAAAATTCGCGCACAAGCAACGATGTGTGAGCAGGCGCGTTATCATGGTGCAAAAGCCAATTTTTATTTTTCCACAAATTCGGACCTTTCTGGCGGATTGCTTCGCGCAAATTACGCATAACTTGCAGGTAATATTCCTTATTTACTGTTCTACCCTGTGGCAAGAACTCATGATGCACCACGCCCCTGCAGACAAAGAAAACTGTAAGCAAAACCTTTACATTTGATCGAACTTGGCGTGCTTTTTTTGGTCTTGGTGATCCAGAATGCCTCCACTGGGACGATTGAGTCTTAGTCTCGACGTCATAACCGTATACCCATGTTTCGTCACCTGTTATAACCCTGTTGAGTAAATCTGGATCATCGTTGACGTCATTCAGTAGCTCTTGGGCGATGGTCATGTGACGTTTCTTTTGATCGAAATTGAGCAATTTCGGAACAAACTTCGCTGACACACGTCTCATGTCTAAAACACTCGTCAAAATTGATTGGCACGAACCAAATGAGATGCCAATATCATCAGCAATTTCTCTAATGGTAATTCGACGATTTCCCAACACTATTTTCTTCACTTCTTCAACATTCTCATCAGTTGTTGATGTGCTGGGGCGTCCAGAACGAGGTTCGTCGTCGGTGTCTTCTCGGCCTTCTTGGAAGAGTTTATACCACTTGTAAACATTTTTTTGGCTTAAAGTAGACTCTCCGTATGCCACTTTCAGCATTTCAAGTGTTTTGGAACATTTGATTCCATTTTTCACACAAAATTTAATGCAAACTCTTTGATTCATGTTTTTAGACAGCAGCAAATCGTGGAGCACGCAAAACACTTCTAACCTTGATGCCTCTCACAAACAAACCAAACATACTACAAAGCTGAAATTTCGAACGTATGTTCTAGACGAGTGTACCGACATAACCAAATAAAAAAGTCGAAGATCGAACGGACGTAGCCCGCTAAATTTCAAAATTCACCTTACTTTTTGATCACACCTCGTAAATGTAACCAGGTAAACTATATACACTTGATATAAGAAAATTTTCGTGAAGGTTGAGGATGACCTAACGATTTATCCGTAATTCAAATTTCTCGAAAGGTAGTTGTATCACTATCAATCGGATCCTTCTGTTGAAATCTTTTGTCGATGACGTCATTCAGAAACGCTATGCCGGCACTATCGTGAGGAAAGCATGCTGAAGCTTGATGCTAAAGTTATGATGAATTTACAGCCGGAGACTTTAGCCGCTTCAAAACTTATGAATGAGTGGACCAATAATATGATTGATTAAGATAGTGTAAAAACGTCGCTGCAAAGTCTGCCAACAGTATAAAGTAAAGTAATTTCAGTTTACAGGTTTTGTTAAAAGGCGATCTATTATATGAGCATAGGCCATTGATACATAAAGGGACCTTTTTCTCATATTAAACACAGGTTCGAGTCTCTTCTGGTTTTCAAATATCTATTTCACCTATCAAAATGGGCTAAAGTTATACATTTTTGTCCGGTAATGAAATTGGATAAAAATAAAATAAATAATGAAATTGGATAAAAATAAAATAAATAATGAAATTGGATAAAAATAAAAATAAGATTAAATCTTTAAATGGAATGCTTGGGGTATTGAATATATTGGAGTAATTTTTTATAGCGATATCTCTGAGATTGCTGTAGCCGAACAAGAAAAGCACGTCAAATACTTCAAAGCGGATTGCAGAAACATGTAGTATGGAATTGCAGACAAAATATAGCACAAAAACTTGCGACTTTGTATCTGCTGCATGACAGTAAAGCTTATTTTGAAACATTCTGGTCCTTTCATTATGAAAACCAATCAAGCCATATTACGGCTCTTTCACGATAGATGAGGTACTGATCGAGTACGAAACGACTTGCCTCAACATGCATCTCAATTATCCAGTCAGAGCCGTTATGTAAATACAATTAAATGCAAATTTAAACAATCTCTTAAAGTCAAATTGTTGTCAAACGAATCGCACGTCACGTGTTATCGTCAAATGGTCAAATAGTCTTTGTTCACCACATATCGGCTGAAACGTTGCATTATGGAAAAAATTGAATATTTTGTTCTCTCGTAAGGCTTTTAATTGGAAAAGTCTACGAAGATAGGCCTGATTGAAAATGAAAGTTTAAGAAATGTATCGTGTGGAAAAAATATTACCGCTTAGTTCAGAACATCCCATAATTTTCAAAATTTGTAATAAATTATTTGATTCTGTTATTTTTTCATTAATTCTTTTAAAAAAATTGGTTTTTTGAAAACGATCGAAATGATTTGTCTCAAAAGGTTCTAAATGTTGTATGATCTCTAATAATACTGAAAATACACACGTACAGCACACACACACACACATACACAATTTTACTGATATACATTTAATGTAGTATATTAGATAATAATATATTTAATTTGTAGCATACCTTATAATAAAATGCTCTTAGGATTTTTGTAAGTAAGATATTATTTTTCATATCGGTATTTATTGTGCATCAAAGTATAGTTGATTAAATAAAGGCTTTGATAATTGAAAACATAGATTCATTGTTGCAGAATCTTTTCAATTATTCTCTAATATATCATCTTTTCAAATACCATCAATATCACTATCGTCTTCAGTAGTTATCTTCTTGTAAAAATTAGTGATTATGGTTCACATATAATCCAGCTTACCGCAGAAATACAATACGACCCAAAATCGGCAGCGGTCCGTGGCGTTGAGGAAATCTTCTCAGCTGCTGACAATCTTCCTGAAAAATAAAATGAACGAATATCCGACCTGACACACGCATGCACGTCGTGCTGGTCTTCTCACGGACACCTGCGGGTACACGCGTAACGCGGCTGTCAGGTGCGCTCACTCGCACGTTAAATCGCTCACTCCTTGTCTCTATCTTTTTCTTTCTATCTCTCTCCCAGCGCGTGCTACTTCATCTTTATAATACACTAAAAGCCGCGCCGCTCGTCGCTCCCGGTTCCGCCAATCAACTCTTTTAAACAGGAATTTGCAATATTTTACCTGGATTTGACCTTTTAAAAATCGCTCTAAAAATTTATAACTTATCATTCTCAACAAGGAATTCCTCGCTCAAGGTCAAAATTATTATTGTGATTTGGCGATACTCTTTATTCTGAATAACTTTTGTCTAAACATTTTGTTTTATTCGGCTTAACAACAGAGATATTTGAGTACGTTGCACAGTAGGATATTTCTAATTTTTTTTCTATAAATCTCTTATAAGCTGCAATTTTTACCAGATTTGGACGATTTTTTTAAATTACTCATTAATTGGATTAAAATTAATCCATTAATTAATTAAAATACTCATTAGTTGGACTTTTTGATGTTTGAGCGCCTTATTGTCATCATTAATATTATTATAATTATAAACACTATAAAAAATAACACATTAAAGTACGTAAAACTTTCAGACAAATTTTCCAAACGCACAATATTAGTTTCAACAACAATAATAAAAAGATATTGCAATACTATCTTCTCAAATCAACAATTTAACACTATTTCTTATTTAAATTATCATAATGAACTACTATAAATATATATTTTTAACTCTTCCTGTCTACAGAATCTTGATTTCGTAGTATGTACTCGTTTAATTAATAACAAATATAATTAATTTAGTGAACATCAAATAACAA